TTTACTTAGAAGTCAGATACAGAGAGAGGAGAGCCAGAGAGAGAGAGAGAGAGAGAGAGAGAGAGAGAGAGACATCTTCCATTCTCTGGTTCACTCCACAAATGGCCACAATGGCTGGGGCTTGGTCAGACTGAAACCAGGAGCCAGGAGCTTCATCTGGGTCTCTGACATAGGTGCAGGGCCCCAAGTACTTGGACCACCTTCTGCTGCTTTCCCAGATGTAGGGAGCTGGATTGGAAGTGGAGCAGCCAGGGACCCATATGGGATTCTGGTGCCACGGGCGGCAGCTTTACCTGCTATGGTACGGCACTGGCCCTGAGCAATTTTTATTTTTATTTTTTAAGATTTATTTATTTATTTGAAAGGCAGAGTTACAGAGAAAGAGAGAGAAAGGGGGGGCATTCCAGAGAGAGCGGGGAGGGGAAGTTTCTATCCAATGGTTCACTCCCCAGATGACTGCAATGGCCACAGCTGCACAGATCCAAAGCCAGGGGCCAGAAGCTTCTTCCAGGTCTCCCACGTGGGTGCAGGGGCCCAAGGACTTGGGCCATCTTCTACTGCTTTCCCAGGCCACAGCAGAGAGCTGGATCAGGAGTAGAGCAGCTGGGACTCAAACCGGCATCCATATGTGATTGCTGGCACTACAGGTGGTGGCTTTGCCCGCTACACCACAGCGCTGGCCCCAATTTTATTTTTTTTAAAGATGTATTTATTTATTTGAAAAGCAGAGTAGCAGAGAGTGAGAGAGAGCTTCCATCTGCTGGTTCAGTCCCCAAATGGCCACAACAAGTGGGGCTAGGCCGGGATGAAGCCAGGAGCCAAGAATTCCATACAGGACTCCCAAGTGGGTGACAGGAACCCAAGGAATTGGGCCTTCCCAGGTGCGTTAGCACAGAGCTGTATCAGAAAGGGAGTAGCTAGAACTCAAACTGGTACTTGTGTGTGGGCTATCATCATTGCAAGCAAGTGGCTTAACCTACTGCTGTGCCACCATGTCCACTCTTGTCAGTGATTTTTAACCTATTTTTCCCACTTTGATATGTTGATTAAATAAAAATTAGGAGAAAATAATGAGGTGGAAAAAAAGATAATGAACTTTGTACCTGAGTATTGACACTTTCTCTGGAATTCCCAGTCTTGGATTTAAAGTACAAAAATTTCGTGGAACTTGGCTTCCGCTCAGCCTCTGCTCTCTTCAGTCCTCTCTATTATCCTTCCCTTTTGCCTGTTTGCCTATTACAGTGCTGTCTGTCCTTACATGATTAAATGATTTCCATTACTTTATTGCTGTTGCCTGCTACTTTCTTATTTCTCTACAGTCTTCTCTCATCTTTTTTACACACAAAAAATTTTAAGTGATTTCATCTAGTTGCCTCTGATCCTTTTTCTATTCCATTTGATCTTATCTGGGCTTGCTTCTGCCTCCACCACTGCTGGTGTCAGCAAGTTTCCAACTCAGCAGCTCTCCTCAGTTAGCATCTCTCTGACCGACCTGTTTCTGGTACTGGTGACCATGGCCTCCTTGAAACTCCTTTCTTCTGACTTTCAAACCTGAGGCCCCGCCTCACTCTCCCTGCCCTTCTCCGACTCTCTTGCTTACTGGACCTTGCTAGGGTTTTTTCTTGGCCTTCTCCTGCAACATGGCAGGGTTGGATGACCTTGGCTTTGAGCTCCAGCTGTGTGATCTTGGTTATGCTTATTTGACCTTTTTTATCCTCAGAATTATCATGTGTAAAATGATATTTTTTATTTATGAATTTTCATTTTATTTGAAAGGCAGAGAGACGGAAGTCTTCTGTCTACTGAGTCACTCCCCAAATGGCAGCAACAGCCACTGCTGGGCTGGACTGAAGCCAGAATTTTATCCTGGTCTCCCATGTGGGTGGCTGGGACCCAAGCAATTGAGCCGTTGCCTGCTGCTTCCCAGGGTGCGCATTAGCTGGAAGCTGGAATCAGGAGTCGAACTTGGACTCAAACCCAGGCACTTGGATATGGGATGCAGGTGTCCCAAGAGGTGTCTTAACTACTGTTCCAAACACCTGTCCCAAAAACGATAATTGTACTATCCATCCAGCAGTTATTGTGTGGATTAAATGAGGTGAGACAGGGAGACAGGTGAATCACCGGTTAGTGAAGACTTCAGTACACCTGCAGCGGACACAGTGGTGGCTGTGTTTTTATTGCTAGAAGCCTTCTGTGTGTTTCCTGTCTCCTGCCTGTACCCTAACCTGAGTGGTACCCATTCGTCCTATTTGCCTTCAGATGTTCAGTGCTTCTCAAGTGATCTTTGTTCCCTGGATTCTAATCCCCCTTGCAATTGACATTTCTCTTTTAGATATTATCACTGACTTTTCTCTGCAGAAATGTGTTGTATACCTTTACCTTTTCTACTGTGTACAAAAGCATTTGTCATCATTTCTTTCTATATATTTTCTTAAAAAAAATTAGGGAGCTAGGCAGATGTTTATTTGCTCTCTGGATGGTGGTGCTGGGCTCTCTAAGTATAAAGTAGTAAAATAAATCATTAAAAGAAAATATTTATATGGAAAAAATAATCATATGAGCATTATGGCTGGTTTCTAGTAGCCTGTCTAAAAAACAAGATTCTAGGGGCCAGTGCTGTGACATAGCAGGTAGAGCCACTGCCCGCAGTGCTGGCATCCCATATGGGCGCCGATTCCAGTCCTGGATGCTCCAGCTCTCTGCTATGGCCTGGGAAAGCAGTAGATGATGGCCCAAGTCATTGGACCCCTGCACCTGTGTGGGAGACCCGGAAGAAACTCCTGGCTTCTAGCTTCAGATTGGCGCATATATGGCTGTTGCGGCTATCTGGGGAGTGAACCAGTGGATGGAAGACCTCTCTCTCTCTCTCTCTGCCTCTTCTTCTCTCTCTGTGTAACTCTGACTTTCAAATAAATAAATAATCTTTAAAAAAAACAGGATTCTAGGAGAAGAATATATATATATATATATATATTTATGGCTTTTCCTGTGTATTGTCCAGTTTGGGCAACTAAATTATGCTTTTAATGCTAACTTATTTGATATAAATGATTCCTTAAGGTAGCTTTTTATTTTATTTATTTTGAAAAGCAGACAGATCAAGATAAACACCACTAAGAGAAACAAGCAGAGATCTCCCATCTGAGTGAGGCTGGGACTTGAACTCAGGCCTTCTGTCATGGGATGCGGTGTCCCAGGGAGCATCTCAAGCACTGTGACTGACACCCACCCCTGCTTGAGTAGTTTTAAACACTTCTATTATAGATTCCTTTTTTAAAAATACATTTGTTTATTTGAAAGAATTCAGAGAGAGGAAGAGAGATAGAGCGATCTTTCACCTGCTGGTTCTCTCCTCAGATAGCTGCATTGGCTAGGATTGACTGGGTTGAAGCCAGGAGCTTCATCCAGGTCTCCACGTGGGTGGCAGGGACCCAACTAGTTGGGCCACCTTCTGTTGCTTTTCCCAGGCCATTAGCAGGGAGCTGGATCAGAAGTGGATTAGGGCTGGTGCCGTGGCTCACTAGGCTAATCCTCCGCCTTGTGGCGCTGGCACACCGGGTTCTAGTCCCAGTCGGGGCGCCGGATTCTGTCCCAGTTGCCCCTCTTCCAGGCCAGCTCTCTGCTGTGGCCAGGGAGTGCAGTGGAGGATGGCCTAAGTACTTGGGCCCTGCACCCCATGGGAGACCAGGAGAAGTACCTGGCTCCTGCCATCAGATCAGCACGGTGCGCCGGTCACGGCGGCCATTGGAGGGTGAACCAACGGCAAAAGGAAGACCTTTCCCTCTGTCTCTCTCTCTCACTGTCCACTCTGCCTGTCCAAAAAAAAAAAAAAAAAAGTGGATAAGTGGATTAGCAAAAAAAAAAAAAAAAAGTTATAAAAAAAAGAAATGGATTAGCCAGGACACAAACTGGTGCCCATTTGGGATGCTGGCATGTCAGGCAGTGGTTTTACCCACTACGCCACAATGCCAGCCCTTACTGTAGATTTCTGTGGGTTTTCTTTACTGTTGCTGTTTGTATGTGTTCTTATGCAAATAACTTCTTTATACAACCTGTATTCCTGGAGCATTGGTAATGTAGCAATGAGCAAAATCAAGCAAAGTTTCCTTGAAGAGCATCATCTAGTAGGGAGACAATAAATAATGGAGAGGGGGGTGAAGAGAGGGAAGGTGGGAGGAAGAGCATAGGTGCTGTGTGGAAAAGCAGCAGCATAATGGAACTAGGCTAGAGAACAGGAGTGCTGGTGTGTGAGTGTGTGTGTGTGTGTGTGTATGTAAATTATTTGAGAGGGAAATTGAGAAAAAGAAACAGGAAAACAGAGAAAGGTCCCATTTGCCGGTGCATTCACAAAATGTCTGCAATAGCTGAGGCTGGGTCAGGCTATAGCCAGGAGCCAGGAACTCCATTTGTCTGTCACTTGGTTAGCAGGCACCCAGTTACTTGAGCCATTACTGCTGCCTCCTAGAGGCTGCATCATCAGGAAGCCAAAGTCAGAAGCAGGAGCCAGGAATCTTTTTTTTTTTTTTAAGATTTATTTATTTGAAAATCAGAGTTACACAGAGGAGAGGCAGAAAGAGAGAGAGAGAGGAAAGAGGTGTCTTCCATCTGCTGGTTCACTCCCCAATTGGCTGCAACGGCCAGAGTTGTGCCAATCCAAAGGCAGGAGCTTCCTCCAGGTCTCCCACGCTGGTGGGGGGCCCAAGCACTTGGGCCGTCTTCTACTGCTTTCCCAGGCCACAGCAGAGAGCTGGATTGAAAGAGGAGCAGCCGGGTCTCCAACTGGTGCCTATGTGGAATGCCAGCACTTCAGGCCAGGGCGTTAACCCACTGCGCCACAGTGCCGGCCGCATGCCAGGAATCTTACCAAGGCCCTCTGGCATGGGACATGAGCGAGCATCTTTACCCTTGGGCCAAATGTCTGACCTGGGGGTGCTGTTTTCACAGGGATGAGCAGGGAAGGCCTCATTTTTTTTCCAATTTATTTATTTATTTGAAAGGCAGAGTTACAGAGGGAGAGAGATCTACCTTGTGCTTCCAAGTGGCCACAACAGCTGGGACTCCGCCAAGTCAAAGCCAAGAGCCAGGAACTCCATCCAGGCCTCCCATGTGAGTAGCAGGGCCCCAAGCACTCACAACATCTTCTGCTGCTTTCTCAGGCACATTAGCAGGCAGCTGGCTCAGAAGCAGAGCAATGGGGACTCCAACCAACCAGCACTCTGATATGGGCGGGCATCACAGGCGGTGGCTCAACCTGCTGTGCCACAACGAAGACCTCACTTTTAAGGTGACTTTTGAGCAGATACTAAGATAAAGTGAAGGATTATGTGGGAGAACTTTCTGGACAAAAGGAACAGCAGGACAAAGCCCCTGAGGCAGGGCCTCGCATGTCCCCATCTGAAGGGGAAAGTGCTAGGGGTGTGATTTGTCTTTCGCTCCTATAAAAACAATCAGTTTCCACCATCACACTTTTTGTTTCTAGGCACACCTTCTCATTTTCTGAGTGTTCCTTTTCAGTAGCTATATTTAATGTGTGCATTAACTAGCCTGTGAGATAATATTAAGATCATATTTTGGTTGTTTAGGGGTTTTCAGCATAGGCATGCAGCATTTTTCCCATGCTAGGTTGTTTTAGTGGGTTTATTTATGCCTTTCTCATCACCCCACTGTCACTTTGGCAGGTTTTTGAAAGTGGCCGGCAGTAGTAAATACATGTGTTTTGATTTTGTGTTTCCCTCTCCCACTTACGCCTTCAGACTTCTCTACCTGGGGTTGGGTCCTAAAGCTTCCTCACTTGTTTGTGCTCACAGGCCACACTGTGTTTTACTTGAATGTGCCTGCTCTCTAGTACGCAGGCTCACTGAATTGTCTGCACTGAACATACTCCTTTACATCCTCTTCCTACAGAGTTGTCTGCCCAAATGAGTATTTAATATACTCCTGTTGAGTGAATATTGAATGACATCATCTGGAGCTTTTAGAAACCAGGTAAAAGTATGGCCTTGAGAGTCATAATCATACCTGTGAAATTCCTGTACGTGAAGACTGGACGGTTGTCAGGAACTATGGGTGAGCGGGGCAAGGCAGCCAGGACAGAACCCTGAGGATAGTAACATTTGGCAGGGGCTGGGGTGATAGCAAGAGGGGTCCCAGGAGCAGGAGAAGGTCTGGGGTCAAGGGAAAGGAGAAATCAGAGGTCCCCACAGTGTCGAGCAATAGAGGAAAATGCCTGACATTAGGGACCCAGGGAGGAGCCCTTTTGGTGTTCAGAGAAATGTATTGTGGGCAGACAGGTAAGGGAGAAGGGAATAGGTCAGAACTTTCCAGTACAGACTTGTTTCAACAAAGTTAGCTTTTTAAAAAAGATTTATTTATGTATTTGAAAGGCAGAGTTACAGAGAAAGAAGGAGGGACACAAAGAGAGTCTTCTTCTATCCACCTGTTCACTCTCCAAATGACTAACGACCAGGGCTGGGCTAGACTAAAGCCAGGAGCCAGGAGCTTCTTCCCTGCACTCCCACATGGGTGCAGGAGCCCAAGCACTTGGGCCATCTTCTGATGCTTTCCCAGGCACATTATCAGGGAGCTAGATCAGAAGTGGAGCAGCTGGGACACCAACTGGTGTCCATATGGGATGCCGACATTGCAGGGTTAATCCTACACCACAATGCTGGCTCCTATGTCATCTACTTCTAGTGTGTACTTGGGAGGCATCAAGGACATTGAAATTGTTGTGCTGCCACCACCACCATCTCCAGAACTTTTTCATTTTCCCAAATGGGAACTCTGGACCGGTGAAACACTGACAACCCATTCCTCCCATCTCCCAGCCCATAGGAACTAGCACTTTGCTCTCTGTGACTCTGAATTTGCCCACACACTGAGCACTTCATGTAAGGGCAATCATCCAGTCTTTGTCCTTTTTGAACTGGCTTATTTCACCTAGCATATATATCTTCAAGGTTTGTCCTTGTTGTAGCATGTGTAAATTTCCTTTTTTTTTTTAAAGGTTTATTTTTTTGAGAAGCAGAGCTGCAGACAGAGAGAGGAAGAGACAGAGAGACAGAGGTCTCCCATCTACTGACTCACTCCCCAAATTGCTACAACAGCAGGAGCTGGGATGATCTGAAACCAGGAGCAGCTTCTTCTGGGTCTCCCACGTGGGTGCTGGGGCCCGAGGACATGGGCCATCTTCTGTTGCTTTCCCAGGCCATAGCAGAGAGCTGGATCGGAAGTGGATCAGCCAGGACTCGAACTGGCACCCATATAGGATGTTGGCACTGCAGGTGGCAGCTTTACCCACTATGCCACAGTGCGGGCTCCAGTGGCTGCACTCTTACATTCCTACCAGAAAACCACATGGGTTCTAATTTATCAACATCCTCACCAATACTTATTAGTTTCTATGTTTTTTATTTACATGTATCTCATAAATACAACGTTAGGAACATAAAGAAGATCCCAAGAATAATACATCTTTTATGAGCAGTTGGACTTAATTATCACTTATGAGACATAAGAATATCCTTCACTTAATACACTAAAATGAAGTTACTCTTTGAGATCAAGTTTTACTATTAAGCCTCATATAACAACTCTTTGAGGACTAAGGTCCTGCATGGGAAGTTAGTGCACAGTGACTCCTGTTGTTAATTTAACAATTAACATTCCTATGTATGACGTCAGTGATCACCTGAGTCTTTTGACATGAGCTGCCTAGGTCATGGAAGCCTTTTGAATCCACAAACTCTGTCAATATTTAGACAAGACTGTAAGCAAAGTGGAAGTTCTCTCCTCCCATCAGAGAAAAGTACATCATTCTTTCTTGACCACTTCTTTCCACTGGGCTCTCACCCACCGAGGTCCTTCATGTAGGACTTTTTTTGCCACAGTGTCTTGGCTTTCCATGCCTGAAATGCTGTCATGGGCTTTTCAGCTGGACCAGAATGCCTTAAGCGCTGATTCTGAGGTCAGAGTGCTGCTTAAAGTGATTGTCATTCTATGAGTTGGCTGTGTGGACTGCTTTCTGTGTTGGAGCATTCACTCCTTTTTAATTCTATCTATTATTGTTACTATCAGACAATGAATCCTATCTATATGATCACTAATACTTAATTCTATCCATATGATCACTTTAAAATTTAAAATGCTAATTTTTACCACATATTTTAAGGGGACTTGGGATCCCATGGCAAGTTTTAAACCATACCTTTAGAAGTAAGTCCATAGGAATGTGTGCAGAACTATACAGCTTTACAGTTATACACTTCATAATTATAACTTTAGAAACATGGTTATTCTTCCCACCATGCCCACCCTTCCACGCATACTCCCACGCCTCCTCCCTCTCTTATTCCCACTGTTATTTTTTTACTAAGGTCTATTTTCAATTAACTTTATACATATGATTAACTAAAGTTAAGTAAAGAGTTCAACAAATAGTATGAAAGAAAAAAAGAAAGAAAACTGTTCCTCAACAGTCAGGACAAGGGCTGTTCAAGTCATTGCTTCTTGAAGTGTCAATTTCACTTTTACAGATTGCCTTTTAGGTGCTGTATTGTTATCACAGGTCAGGGAGAACATTTGGTACTTATCACTTTGGGACTGGCTTATTACACTAAGTATGATGTCTTTCAGAAATCCATTTTGTTGCAAATGACCAGATTTTTTTTAACTGCTGTGAGGTATTCCATGGTGTACATTCTCATAGTTTCTTTATCCAGTCTTCAGTTGATGGGCATTTGGGTTGATTCCATGACTTAGCTATTGTGAATTGAGCTACGATAAACATGAGGGTACAGATAACTCTTTCATAAGCTGATTTCTTTTCCTTTGAGTAAATTCCTTGGAGTGGGATGGCTGGGTCATATGGTAAGTCTATATTCAGATTTCTGAAGTATCTCCATACTGTCTTTCACAGAATCTGTACCAGTTTACATTCCCAGAAACAGTGGATTAGGGTACCTTTTTCCCACATCCTCACCAGCAGTTGTTGTTTATTGATTTCTATATGAAAACCATTCTAATGGGGGTGAGGTGAAACTTCGTTATGGTTTTGATTTCCATTTCCCTGATGGCTAGTGATCCTGAGCATTGTTCATGTATCTGTTGGCCATTTAAATTCCTCTTTTGAGAAATGTCTGTTTAAATCCTTTGCCCATTTCTTAACTTTTTTGTTGTTGTTGTTGAGTTTCTTGATCTCTTTATATATTCTGGTTATTAATCCTTTATCTGTTGTATAGTTTGCAAATAATTTCTCCCATTCTGTCAGTTGCCTCTTCATTTTGCTGAGTGTTTCTTTTGCAGTATAGAAGCTTCTCAGTTTGATGTAATCCCATGTGTTAATTTTGACTTTGATTGCCTGTGCCTTCAGGGTCTTTTCCAAGAAGTCTTTGCCTGTGCCAATGTCCTAGATGGTTTCCCCAATGTTCTCTAATAATTTGATGGTATCAGGTCATATATTTAGGTATTTAATCCACTTTGAGTGGATTTTTGTGTAATGTGTAAGTTAGGGGTCTTGCTTCATACTTCTGCATGTGAAAATCCAGTTTTCCCAGCACCATTTGTTGAAGAGACTGTCCTTGCTCCAGGGATTGATTTTTAGCTCCTTTGTCGAAGATAAGTTGGTTGTAGATGCTTGGATTGATTTTTGGTGTTTCTATTCTGTTCTATTGGACTTTCCATCTATTTTTGTACCAGTATCAGGCTGTTTGGATTATAACTGCCCTGTAGTATTCTTGAAATCTGGTATTGTGATGCCTCTGACTTTTTTTGTTGTTGTTGTATAAGGTGGCTTTAACTATTTGGGTTCTCCTGTGTTTCCATATGAATTTCAACAGCGTTTTTTCTATATATGAGAAGAATGTCCTTTGTATTTTGATTGGTATCACATTGAATTTGTAAATTGCTTTGGAAGTATGGACATTTTGTTGATGCTGATTCTTCCAATCCATGAACATGGCAGATTTCTCCATTTTTTTTGTGTGTGTCTTCTATTTCTTTCTTTAATGTTTTGTAATTCTCATTATAGAGATCTTAGACATCTGTTCTTTTAGAGTTCTTTGGATCCCCTAAATAAAGAATCCTATCATCTGCAAAGAGGGATAGTTTGAGTTCTTCCATCCCAATTTGTACCCCTTTAATTTCTTTTTCTTTCCTAATAGCTCTGGCTAAAACTTCCAGAACTATATTGAATAGCAGTGGTGAGAGTGGGCCTAATAGCTTTTGCTAAAACTTCCAGAACTATATTGAATAGCTGTGGTGAGAGTGGGCATCCCTGTCTGGTACCAGATCTCAGTGGAAATGCTTCTAACTTTTCCCCATTCAATTGGATGCTGGCTGTAGGTTTTTCATAAATTGTTTTGATTGTATTGAGGAATGTTCCTTCCATACCCCGTTTGCTTAGAGTTTTCATCATGAAAGAGTATTGTATTTTACCAAATGCTTTCTCTGCATTGATTGAGATAATCATATGTTTTTTGTTCTTCAGTTTGTTAATGCAATGTATCACATTGATTGATTTGTGAATGTTAAACCATCCCTACATACCAGGGATTAATCCCACTTGTTCCAGGTGAATGATCTTTCTGATGTATTGTTGGATTCTATTGGCTAGAATTTTGTTGAGGATTTTTGTGTCTATGTTCATCAGGGAGATTGGTCTATAGTTATCTTTTTCTGCTGTATCTTTTTTCAGGTTTAGGAATTAAAGTGATGGTGGCTTCATAGAAAGAATTTGGGAGGATTCCCTCCCTTTCAGTTGTTTTGAATAGCTTTAAAAGAATTGGAGTTAGTTCTTTAAATGTCTGATAGAATTCAGCAGTGAAGCCATCTGGTCCTGGGCTATTCTTTGTTGGGAGGGTCTTTATTACTGGTTCAATTTCTGTCTTGTTTATGGGTCTGTTCAAGTTTTCTTTGTCTTCTTGGCTTAATTTAAGTACTTTGCATGTGTCCAGGAACCTATTCATTTCTATAAGTCTTCCCATTTT